AAGTTACAGTGTTTCATTTTTGTGCATGTTCTGATTCTAAATTATTTAAGCATTTGACTAGCTCGTAGACATAGAAACTTACGTCTCCCATGCATTTTTCCACCCCAAAGTGTTCTATGGTTTCCTTTGTCTCACACACTATGTCAGAGTATTCAAATGCACTGTGTAGTACCAGTAGCCTGTGGCACATTACAAGAAAAATTGAGATAGTTTCTCAGTTAAATGCATTTTATTTTGACCTATTTCCTTCCACTTGAGTCTAACATTTGGTCTCTTCATAGTCAATATTCTGTTTTATGGAAAGGTTTTAAAATTTTACTGAAGGAGATGAGTAAGAGGTGAAGGACAAACTAAATTTATATTATTCCTTTTGCCATTATTATTAAAAATAGGAAAGAAGAAGAAGTGTTGGGGAAAATACAGTGAATGCTGATGCAATTATATGTGCAAAGCTACATGCTTGCTTTTACTCTTGACATTTAGACCTCTGCTTCACATTCTCTTCTCTTCTACAGACTGGGACAGTTCATTTCAGTTGCATTTTCCAACTACTGACATCCATGTTCATTCCTAAATTCACTTCATATGCTTCCAAATATCCCCTATTATCAGAGCTGAGTTCCTTCTTGGTTTTGCTACATATTGCAAGATAGATACATCTACTCTTGAAACACAGTGGGAGAGGTCATACATAGGGGTGAGAAAGATGATGATGAGAGGAAGATTGTGTGGGCAGGGGTTGCTGGCCCCTTGCCCTACAGCAGGGCACGTGCAGACTGTTGCTCTCAGGTGATGAACAGGCAGGGTTTGGCTGCCACTCAGGCATCACCTTATACTGTGTACTGGCCCTACGTGGTGTAATGTAGAGCTGCTAAAATGGGGTGTCAGGACTGCTGGGGTGAGCGATGCTCATCCTTCACTCGAGACTGTTGCTCCGTGGGGACGCCTGCTAAGCATGGGCACCGACCAGCTGCTGCAGATCCTGGCAGCCCTGGCCTGTCTGTGTGGGTAAGCACAGTTTATGGATAGGAAGCAACTGAGAAAGCAAATGTTTTATATCCTTTTTTGGTATGCCTTTAATTCCATTTTTACTGGTTAATGATATAATAAAAGTTATTTGTAGTATTGTATGAATGCCAACCGATAAAGTAGTTATTTTGTATTCTTTTTTAGCTTTTGATTCTCTTTGCTAGTTTTTTATTCTCACTGCAATAAAAGATTTTTTGTAGTGTTTGAATGTCTGTTGTGCTTGTCTTTATTTCGGGCACGTATTCCAACAAACTAATACCTGGGGGCACACCTCTTTGGGGCAGGAGACGGGCAGCACCCTTGCCAGGACTCAGGGCGGTGGCAGGTCTCCTTCGCCCAGGACTTGCCACAGCTGCTGATTTGGGTGCAGCCCTGGCCAAAGGGCTCCCAGCAGCATTGGTGCCCTTGCCCACACCTTCCTTCTCGGTGTCACCCCCCGTGTTTAGGATGGCAACCAGCGGGAACTTCTCCCAAGGAGGCCGTGGCAGCTTGTGTGGAAGGCCCCGTGCCCTTCCCACTGCGGCTGCGTCGGCGGCCGAGGGGGCTCCTTGTGCTGCCATGAGCAGGCACAGGAGGGGGGTGTTTGCTCATTTCTTGAGCCGTTCCCACAGTTCAGGTCCAGCCAGATTAGATACTTCAGAGAGCGGATTCCCTCCAAGGTGGGGCAGGTTGACCGGGCTGGGGGAGGCCCCAGGCCAGGTGGCACTGTGTCACAGGGCCCTTTGTGACACGCTGGGCATGGCCGGTGGGATGGAAGGGGCAGGGTGTCCAAGGGCCCTTTATGACCCGTGGTGACAGAGGTGCTGCTGGTGACACGGCCACAGTGTCAACAGTGCTCCTCGGAGCAGGCGACGGGACAGGACAGAGCAGAGCTGTGCGGAGCCCCCGCGCAGCCAACTCGTGCCTTGCTGACCTGGAGCGTTTTGGAGGATTTTCTCGCTTCCGGGTGCCTTCGAGGCCTTTTTGTGTGACTTGGAGACCTGGAGCTTCTCCGAGGCATCTCCAACCCCTTTGGCAGGTGCCCTCGAGGCCCTGCTGCAGGACTTGGAGATCTGGAGCTTCTCCGAGCTGTCTCCAATCCCTGTGGCAGGTGCCCTCGAGGTTTTTCTGCAGGACTTGGAGACCCAGAGTTTCTCCGAGGCGTCTCCAATCCCTGTAGCAGGTGGCCTCAAGGCCATTCTGCAGGACTTATTGACCCGGAGCTTCTCCGAGGCGTCTCTCTTGCAGGTGCCCTCGACACCAGACTGTGGCATGGCAGGGAGACGCTTCAGCCTGCTCAGGCTGCTCCGGAGGAAGAAGGAGGAGGAAAGCCCTGGGGCTGCTCCAGCACAGCAGCCTGAAGAGGTGCAGCAGGTGCAGCCCCCACAGGAGGGTGAGTGTTGGAGCTGAGCCACAGGGCTGGTGGCTGCAGCCCGCTTGGCCTCGTCCTGTCCCATCCCCTCTGGACATGCCCAGGGAAAGGGAGGGGGGCAGAGGGGCCGGGGCTGATCTCCCGGCAGCCGTGCTCCATCCACTGGGCATCCTGGGGCTGGCCCTGCCTGTTCCTGGAGCCCAGGCCTGGGCTGTGTTCTCCGGCCTCTCCCGCACACCCTCAGCTCTGAGCGTACTCGCTCTTTGCCAGATGCAGGCCAGGAGTGGACAGAAGAGCAGCTCCGTGCCCGTGGCCGCTTCCGCAGGGCAGCACAAGTACCTGCAGCCATCCCCTCCTGGGCTGGGCGTGCTGTCACTGCTCAGCCCAGCACCGCTGTCAGAGCCCTTCAGGGGACATCCATCTCTTCCTTGCCTTCCTCCTGTAGCTGGTTTGCAGATTCATCAGGTGCATTTGGCGTGAAGAGACCACTTTCATGGCCACTGGGGGCACGGCAAACTCGGACCTCTTCAATGCCCAGACCAGCGCTGCCCTGCTGGATTTGCTTGTGGAAAACGGTGTCTACAAAGGGAAGCAAGTAAGCAGCCTGTGGCCAGGGCTCCAGTGCCCCAGGGATGCTGTGGCCCCTCATGCCGGCTGCGCTGGGCCCCCTCAGCCTTTGAGACCAGCAGAGTGTGGTGGCAAGGGGAGCACTTCTTGGGGAAGCTGGGCAAGTTGCTGGCTCTGGCAGCTCTCCAACTGTTCCCCGTGTCCCCTCCAGGTGCTGGCCATAGTCAGGTGCATCCACCAGTGGCTCACGTGCAATGTGTCTGCTGGGCACAGGCTGGACAAGACTCTTGTCCTGCTGACCGAGGCACACCCTGTGGATGTTGCAGTGACCCTGCTGCGCTCTGCCCCAGCCTGTGACAGGTATGGGGCCCACCTGCCTTGAGGGCTCCCCTGCCTTTAGACCCCATCCCCCTGGGCAACCTGTCCCAAATGGTGTGCCAGAGAGATGGAGACTTCCAGGACACTCCAGCTCCTCTCTTTGCCAGCTTTGGCATGTCAGCCCCCAATCCTGAGGCCAGCCTGCCTCCCTGCCCCACAAGGCACCGTGGCTCTGTCACCTGGGCTCTGCAGCTGCCCAGGCCACAGCGCTGTGTCCCAGACGCCCCTGAACCAGAGTTCTGACTCCACAGAGCTGCTCGCACCATGTGGAGGACGCTCATCTCCTCCAGAGAGACTAAGGAGCCGGTGCTGCAGATCCTCTTCCGTGCGCTGAAATTCTGGCCAGCGCACAGGACACGCACCTCTGATGGGGATGAGAGCGATGTCTTTGCCCTGGCTGTGAGTTTATTGAGCTGGCCTCTGCTCACCCCCAGCTTGCCTCTGGGATGCCTTTTCATCCTCCCTCACCACTGCTTCTCCCTGCCCCAGGCACTGGGCTGCAACCCTGGCTTAGGGGCAGGTTCAGGGCCACCAGGCCGGGGGATCCCCCTGTGTCTCCCCTGGCCTCTCCCTGCCATGCTGGGGCCCTGCCACATGGACATCTGGGCCCTGAGAGCTGTCTCTGGGTGCTTTGTCTTTGGCAGGCAACTGTGGCACTCTGGGAGATCCTCCAGCTGCACTGGTGCCCGGGGGAGTGAAGAACAATTTCCCCCGCCTCCTTCTGACTCTGCTCTTCCAAGTTTTCATCAGCACAGAGGAGATGTCAGAGGAGGTCGAGACCTTCTGGGGGCGATGCCGGCAGCAGCGCAGCCTTCCCCCCAACCCCAACAGGTGCTCCATCCCAGTCCTCTCTCCCTGCCACGCCCTCGGGGCTGGGGCCGGGGCTCTGCGCCTGACCTGGGCTGTGCTCTGCACACAGGTTTGCAGTGCAGACCGTCAAAGCCCTGCTGCGCCAGCTGCTGGATGAGGACGTGGTGATGGTGATCCATCGCAAGTGTGGCTGGGACATGCTCCTCAAGGCTGACAGCCACCACTATGCAGTGGGTCTGCTGGCCAGGTGAGAGCCCTTTCTCCCCACTGCCCCCGGCATTCCTGCCCTGTGCACAGGCCAGCCCACACAGTGCCCGTGCTGCTGGGCCAGAGGGCCTTGGCAGCCAGGGATGGCTGAGCAGAGTGGCAAAGGCGGAGAGGGGCGGCTGCACAGGAGGAGCCACCTCCCAAAGCGCCCATGTCCCCTCCTGGGCTGGTGGCCAAAGACCAGGCCTGTGTGAGTTCAGTCCCAGGAGAGCTTTGCCCACCTGGCTCAGGGTCTCTGGTGCCTTTATTCCCCCTTGCAGGGAGCTGTGCCATGTCTCCCGCTCCTTCTGCCGCAGCATCGCCGTCAACCTGCTCCCGCGGCTCAGCAGGGAAGAGCCCCTGTGGGAACTGCCTGCCCTGGCGTTCCTGGTGGAGGTGAGCCTGATGGCGAGCGCTGCCTGGCCCAGCTGCCTCCCCCTCTCTGCCCTCTCACAGCCGCAGTCGCCTGGGACGGTGCCTGCACCCTGTGCTGCTGCCTGGGCCCAGCCCCGGGCGGGTCCGGGCTCCTGCTGGCCAGGCACCCCATCACTGCTCCCTGCCTTTCAGGTGCTGCACTGCCTGAACCCCAGACAATGTGGGCTCAGCGTCCTGCAGGTTATTTCAAGGCGCCTGCGGAGCGAGTGCCCCGAGAGGCGTCGCCTGGCGCTCCGAGGCCTGGTGGTGATCAGCAAGGCTCCCGCAATGGTGAGCAGGGGGCAGGGGCTGAAGCCGGGCCGGCAGCGTGCGGCTGTGCAAGGCAGTAGCTTGGCCTTGGCTGGCCTTTGGCAGCTGCGGCAGCTGCTCCCAGCTCTCCTCCTCCCCGTTCAGCTTCCCGACTCCTTTGGGACGTGCCTTTGGCCTCTGGGCCCCGCGGCAGCAGCGTGGGGCTGCACCACAGCATTGTGTTCCACACAGGCTAAGAGCATCTGGAGCCTGAATGAAAGCCTCCTGGAGCTACTCCAGGATGCAGACACAGACGCGGTTGAGATGACCCTCTCTGCATTCATCAATGTGCTACACTTGAAGACCATCCAAATATCCAGTCCCACTGCCCTGAAGTTGCTTGAGGTGCTGCGGCCACTCTTTGACAACGTAAGGCTCTGTGCCCCTCATCGTGGGCACTGAGTGCTGCCAGGAAAATTTGGGCCCAGTGTCTTTTCAGGCCTGTGCCCCGGTGGGCCTAGAGAAGCCTGTGCTGAGGTCTTTTGCTCTTCCTTTGCAGCAGGAGCACAGCCAGCTGCAGCAGCTCTCCATGGTCCTCTTCCGGGAGATGATGGAAGTGACAGAGAGGAGCAAGAGCCTAAAGCCACACGTCTACCTGAGGCTGGTGCCATTCTACTTCAACTGGCACGATGAGAACCAGCGTGTGGCAGAGGTGAGGACTCGTGGGCTCTGGTGTCCCCATGGCAGGAGGCTGCTGT